GAGTTAGAATGACCCCAAGCCCAGGGACTGGCTGGGTCTTTGATGGCTGGTGCCGACTGTGGGCAAATGCCCACGTCTGTGTCCTGGTCCTGCTGTGACTCCCTGCTGCGTCAGGTTGGGAAGGCAAGCGCTCAGAGCATGGCATCAGCCAGCTATGATGTGGCCCGCTCATTGAGAAATGCCCTGGAATTTGCATCAAGTTTCCTTTGTTTTATTGAAATTAGTTTATTTTAAAATCCAGGTGATCCAGGATGATAGTAGAGAACAGACTCAGCGTGGTCTGGATTTCCTGTAAGGGGGCAGCACTGTCTGGCCTGGGCCTTCAAGAACAATCGAAGCTTCCTGGCTGAAAAGGCATTTTGTCTGCACTCTTTAGGCTTTTCCTCAGTTCAGTTCCACTTGGTGGTGAAGACCTGACAGACAAAACCAGGTAGATCTGATTTTAAAGGGGCAAAACCTACAATAGCCAAGGCAGGCAAGGCATCCCATGCATAGCCCCAAATCCAGGGACTCATTTGTCCCATATTTCGTTTTTTTTTTTTTTTTTTTTTTTGGGGTTTTTTTTTTTTGGAGAGGTTTTTGCTATAGGGCCCATGCACTCGCCAGAAAAGACAGAGAGAGACAGAGAGACAGAAAGCGAGAAATCACCCCTCGGGGGAATGGCCATGCTGCAATCCCTTCTCCTCCATCTCCTCTCGGGACCTTGTACACGCACGCACATGTGCCCTGCGTGAGTTTAAGCCACTGGGTCCGGGGCTCAAACCGCGGTCAACTCCATGGGAGTCCAGCGACACAGCCATTATGCTGGTCCCATCTATATTTGTTCTTAATGCTCTGTTTCTGATGGACCTCATTTCACAGTTCTCAGAGAGAAGCTCTTGATGCTCCTTCTGCTCACATGCGTGAGAACATCGGAAATGAATAACGCACCATCAGCCCCAGCCCTGAGACAGGCGTAGCTGGGATCCATGGCACCACTGCATGGCTCTCCAGGATGTTTTAAATTCTCAGAGATGTGAGGCATGGAGTAAGCAGAGTGCTTTCTGGTGCTCAGGGAACCATACAGTAAACAGACTTAGGTAGAGCAGTTGCCCCCTGGTCTTCTTGAACTGGGCTCATTAGATGTGCAAAAATAGTGAATCAAAATATTTTATGTTATATATTTGCATAATATTTTTGGAATCACTTTTAAAAACATTTGCCTGAGGGTGCATGTGCTCACCACAGAGGAATAGAGAGAGAAAGGGAGAAGGCAACCCCCCTATGGGGGCTGACCACACTGTAATTCCTTCCCTCCGTTTCCTTCTTTTTGGGATTTTGGGTACATGCACACACATGCATGAGGTGTGTTTCTCAAACCTCTGGGTTCAGAACTCGAACCCCACTCTTGGTTGTGTGGCACTCAGTTGCCTTAAACATCATGCCACCAGCTAGCCCTAGCTTCATATTTAAAAAAAAAATAATGATTTTATTTAACTTTATTCATTTATTCATTTTTAAATTTCAATTTGACCAGAGAGAGAGAGAGACAGAGAAAGAGAGAGAAAGTGAGAAAGCAAGCCATTAGGTTCAGGACTCGAACCCTAGTTGGCCATCCAGTGCCTTTAATCACCACGCCACCTGCCGGCCCCTAGCTTCACATTTTACAGAGGATGTTGACAAGCTAAAATCCATCCAGGATGCAGGAACCTGGATAGTGGAGAGCATGGAAAGCAGAAAATAGAGGAGTGTGAGCTTTGCAGCTTGGAGGAGCAAAGGCTTCTGGGAAGGGGGAGAAAGCGGTTAGCTCTGGCCGTTGTCGTTTAAGGGCTGTGGGGTTATCACGTATCAAAGACCGTATCTATTCTGCCATGCTAAAGTGCTAAAGGTGACTGCACCAGAACTACGGGCTTCAGGGAGACGAATCTGGGGAACAGCCTCAATAGGCCGGGTACTGCGCTGCTCATAGCTGGGACAGGTGAGATCCACAAATACTCAGCACCTTGTCAGATACTCAGCTGGGAAAGTTCAAAAGGCTGAAAGGCGAGGCTTACGGGATTCTCTATTATGGACTTCTTTATTAGTGGGAGGTTGCAATAGATAGTCTATATAGTTCCTTCTAATCGTCAAGATCCTAGTTTCTATCTTCTTCTCATAGAAACAGGACTATATGGGCTAGCAGGTGGCACGGAGGTCAAGGTGTCAGCTGCACGGTTCGAGTCCTAGACCCGGCGACTTGAAAAGCACACCAGGTGGGTGTGCCTGTGTGTGCATACATGCCCCAAATCCCAGGAGGAGACTGAAGGAAAAGGGATTGTGGCGTGGCCACCACCCAGGGGGTGACTTCTCACTTTCTCTCTCTCTCTGGACAGTGCACATGCCCTGTAACAAAATCTAAAAAAGAAAGAAAGAAAAGTACATTCCTTCTTTTTTCTTTTTTAAGCATGTATTCGTTTATTTAGTTATTTATTTGTTGTGATTTTTTTCTTTTTTTTTAAAATAATTATTTATTTTTAAATTTTATTTATTTATTTACTTATTTTATTTTGACCAGAGAGAGACACAGAGAGAGAGAGAGAGAAAGTGAGAAAGCAAGCCACCAGGTCCAGGACTTGAATCATGGTTGGCCATGTGGGAATGTCCAGCGCCCTAACCACCAGCTTTGTCCCTGTTTGGTTTTGGTTTTAAAGCCACTGGGTCCAGGACTTGAACTGTGTTCAGCCATGTGGGAATCCAGTGCCTTAACCACTATGCCACCTGCAGGTCACTAGAACTATGTATTTCAAGTTAGCATTATTTGTCATCTCACTAAGATTTCAGTTCATATATTCTAGTGTAAATAAATACATCCATAACAATGAGAATAATTAAAAGAAACAAGAAAGAGAGAAAAAAAGGATAATTCTTTGTTTTAAAAGAGATTTTTTGCTATGGAGCTTGTGTGCTCGCTGTAAAGATAGAAAGAGAGAGACAGAGAGACAGAAAGTGAGAAATCACCCCCCAGGGGGGATGGCCACACTGCAATCCCTTCTCCTCCATTCTCCTCTTGGGATCTTAGGCACACACACACATGCACCCCGTGTGAGTTTAGGCTGCAGGGTCCGGGACTTGAACCACAGTTGGCTACATGGGAGTCCAGTGACATAACCATTATGCCATCTGCTGGTCCCCCAAAAGGATAATTCTTTATTGAAGTCCTAGTGCCTCACTAGCAGTGAGATCAAAGTGAGATTCCACTGAGTTAAGGACAAAAATATAGTCAAGAAGAAATCTTCAGTGTTAAAAAGACATTTGACAAACATCTGAGCCCTTCATGTTATATGGTGAAGAGATTAGGGCCTAGATATGATGAGCACCTTGCCAGCATCACATAGTAGCAAGATGAAGACTACAGACTGGGGCCAGCAGGTGGCGTGGTGATTAAGGCACAGGACTCCCACATGGCCCACCAAGGTTTGAGTCCTGGACCTGCTGACTCCCTTTCTCATTTTCCCTCTCTTTCTCTCTCTCTGGTGAATGCATGTGCCTATAGCAAATAAAATAATAATAATAACAAAAAACATAAATCATTCTTAAAAAAAGAAAAGGCTACAGACCAATCTTAGTTGTCATTCCCTACAATCTACCTTATGAGTCACTCATGCTGAGGTGAGGGCAGGCTTGTGTTTTGGAAGCATGTAAAAGAACATATGGGAAGAAAATTTTCACAATCAATTTTGGATGCAAAACCAATTTTTTTTAAGAGTAAGATTTTTGCTATAGGGCATGTG